TGGATGTAATTTAAAATCTGAAACCTTTCAGATTTTTCTTTTTTTCTTTTTTTTTTTTTTTTTTTTTAAAGCGGAATAGAGGGCAGTCTACATTGCACTAGTGTAACATTCTTTTTATAATGGAGTGGCCTTTTTTTTTTTTTTCCCCTTCTCTTCTGTAACCTCTATATTACATTTTCAGTGCTTTATCTGTTCAGCAATTTTGTTATTTTGTCCCTCACTGTTTTATAGCTTATAGGCTAAATTAATTTTATTTTGATGACAAAATACTATACAACATCTTACTATGAATTTGTTATTCATTTATAACCTTAAACTACTGTTTCTATCATAGCCTGATTAGGTAACTAAGATGAGAAAGGCAGCACTGCAGTTATCACCAACATTTTATGATTTGTTGAAGACATTGACAATATCTTGGTTTGTTTCAGTAAAAGAGGGACTGTTTCCTTTTCATATCAAGATCAGGAAATCTTGCTTCTTATATTTTTTCTAATGTGTTATTAATCAAGGACTGATGTGAACTGATATTAAAAGAAATGAAAATATATGTTAATTAAAATATTTCAGAAGAAAAAATATATTTTATTTATATCAAGAGTGAAACATGAAAAAAGAATAATTTTGAAAACAGATTTTAAATAGCATTAAATATTGTTTTATATATTTCAGAAGTATAAAAAGTAGGGATGAAAGGAATTTATTTTTAATTTTCTGTAAATGTTAACTTAAGAGCTTTGCTTTTATACAGTATTGAAAATTATCACATTTTTTATTTTTAATGGTGGTAAAAGATTCATATAAATTGTTCAGATGTTAAAGAAATAAGGCTAAAGGTTTGCTTATTTTGTGTTGAAAGGCAAAAGATGCCTTAAATTGTGCTGAAGTTCAACTTAATTTTAAGTTAATGTATTACTGTCAAATTTGAAAAGTTAGAAAATTGTAGTTTCAAAAAGAGTGAGAGCAGTCTCAAATTTCAAATAAGTGTTCTTCGTTGTTTTTATACCTTTTGTTGAATTGAGTTGATAAACTTGAAGAATTGCTTTGCTGTAGTATTAATAAAATTGTGTTTCTACTTGAGGAACCACACATATTATATTGTTTCAATTTTAATATTCTCAGATCACAGTTTAACTTCTGAACAATCTCCATTTAAATTAATAGAATATGAAGTTTATTCAACAATTTGCATAGCTTATATAATATGCATTACGGTTATTTATAGTTATTTATAGTAGTATATATAATATGTGCTACACAAACTAGATACATATAATTCACACTAAAAAGCAAATTTTTAAGTGATAGATATATAATACATAATAAATAAAACAGTACATATTTATCTCATATATGAAATAAATATTTAGGTATTCAACATTCACATTGTACATTTGTAATTAGTAAATTTTTATTTTGGTACATATAATCAATTCTGACTAGAATGCAGTTCCATAAATAAAATTTTAAAATAAATTTTATATATATGTGTATAAGAATGATATTTAATTTAATTTATAGATATTAATTTGTAACTACTGTGGCATTCAAATATTCCACATATTTATATATATACAGTGATTTACAAATATTTGAAGTTTCGTTACAGTTTACTACACAAAAGTAATGCATGATACTAAATTTTCAAGGTAACAGTTTTTGTTAAATCTTTTTTTCTGTCTGCATTTCTCTGCAAAAATTTGTATAATTAAAAAAATTGACGTAAACCATTAACTTAAATTTATAGAGTGGGAAATATAATTTAAGAAAGTGTTTTTGAAATAATTTTGAATGCAAGTTAAATTACAGTATAAATTAAAATTTTAATATTGAAAAAAAGAGTAAATTTTATAAACACATTTGATTATTTATTAGATAGTTTTTCAGGGTGATTTGTGAAATTTTGAATATCTAATTTGTTGCTATTAATTTTAACTTATTTAGGTGCTAAACCTTTGAGTAGAATTTTATCTAATTTGTTTTACTGTATAGATTAGATTGCAGTTTCTCCAACTGCCTATCTCCAGTCATTTGTTTCATTCTTAGTACTTGAATTTTTTTCCTGAATATTTAAAATTTCACTTCCTACTAAACATAATTTTGTCTTAACATACTATATTTAAAATTTAATTCATTTCCTTGTGTGTGCATTAGAAAAATCCTCCATGAAGACAAATAGTCACTGCATCATTTGCAATAAATAATCAGTCATCCTTCTGTAGTTACATTATATGCACTGTATTGGGGGGATAACTATAAAACCAATTTAAATTACAGAAAATGTTAAGAAACTATTACAGAAAAACTAGTTCTTTTGGCTGTATTTCTTATGTCAGATAAGGCATTTTTTGCTTTGTTGAAGTTAATTGTAATCTATCACATTTGATAAAAAAAATAAATACAAAGCTTTATTGGCTAACTTAAACATGTTAATACCAAATCAAGAATCACTTAACCAATTCAGAAATACAATATTTATGTAACCTCAAGCTATATTAAGCAAAGACAGGGAAAAAACTTAGTGGAAATTTAAAAAAATTCATATATGCTTTGAAATTCTCAAGAAAATGCATGCTTATTGGAAATGTCATTTCACTTCAAGGAATCACAAAAAGTGCAACAGCTAAAAAGTTCTCTTTTTGGTACTGATTTTGAACAGCAATATCAGATTTGATTACAAACTTCTCTAGTAAATATATAAATCACATTCAACAAGACTGAAACATAGCAAATGAACATTCTTGTGAAACATTCAGACTACCCTATTCTACTTTATATCAATCTATAAGTACATAAATATTAAGTAGATAAGTGTTTAGAAAATTCAAGAAATTTCTATGTACACAAAGAACCTGGCAAGTTGAGCCACATATCTTTTTTGACTAGAAGTACTCATCCTTGTTTTTGAAAGAAATAATGATTACAACACATCCATAGAAAAGACATTCACAGAAAACTAATTTCTACAGTTTTGTTCTAATACCTCTAATTTTATATACACATTTTAAAAGGCAATGCAATGGGGGCAACTTTTATAATGTAAAAAATATGTTATAACATCTAAGCTGCAGAAATTTTCGAACTCTTATCCTGCATGATCAGAATTCGAAGTTCAGATGTATACACTGAATGTTATAGAAATATGATCACATAATGAGATGCTTCTTTCTTTCAATATATGTAATCTACATTATTTATATTGAGAAGATCCAAATACACAGTTTTATTTATTATCTTATCCTTAAGTACTACAACAAATGCAAAAAATTACTTTAAATACTAATTGCTAGCTTCCTACCCTCTTAAATTCAGAATGATGCTTTTAAGACTTTTCTTTTTTTTTTTCGGGGGGGGGGGGATGGGGATATTTTCATGAACTGTAGTCTTTAATCTTAATATCACAGTTTGTAACTGTTCAGCACTGAAAGAAGTTTATTGAAAAATTAATATTAAGAAATTCTAGTTAAAGTGTACCCTTGTGAAAATTACTGACAGGTTTCAGCTTTGAATAGAAAGCTAAATATTTAAAATCTGTTTTTGCTTCCATGCTTATTGAATCAGACATTGGTAACTGAATATTCATTCATTCTTTCAAAAAAATTTTTACTGCATAGTAAAATTTACATATCCTAAGGATTCATGAATTTAATAACTTTAACCATATCCACATGACAACATAACTGAGATTATAGTTGGAAAATAGGAAATATATGTAAGAAAAATAAAGAATATGTAAAAGATTAAATTAGCAGTGTAAATTAATTTCCCTTCTCTATTCTAAAAATAGCAACATCTATTTACACTGCATCATTTCGAGAAAAATCTGTCATATGACTCATGTAATTCTGGTGATGTAAATCAAACTAAAACTCAAGCAGCCAATAATAATTTTACAGCAATATTAACTATCCAATCAAAATGCTTTGAGAACCTAAACTAACTCAGTTTGACTTTCAGATTTCATCCTGAACAAGTACACACTTAGCTTTCTACATGCTTTGCCTTAGCTGGACTGTAGTTTGTCTGCTTCTTCTTTTTTGCTACAAAATTATCAAAAACGTAAGCCCTCTGGAACAGGCACATTTAATGTGCTGACTTGTGTGTAGCTGCAACATGTTGCTGAAAATAAAACTGAAGATTTAATCTGCCTTCGCCTCCAATTTCTCGGTCATTATGGATCAACACTTCTACGCCATAAAAATTCTGCTTGTCATTACTTCTAAGTTTTTTTTTATTACATATTTATTTGCTACGTAATATATGCTTTTCGTGAAAACTATGGCTGTAATTTTTTAAAGCTTATTTATAATTACAAAATGTAAGGTAATATACATTTTGTAATTCCTGATTATGTGGCTAGAAAATAGTTTAGATTTTGATGTATTTTTTTATGTTGGGATTTTAAAATAGTTGAAGTCTTTATACAAATTTAGGCCTATCAATAGCCAAGACCATTATATCATTGAAAATTGGTTCATCTGGAGCTCAATAATCTCGTTTCTTGCCCCCTGGTTTTAATCATATGTAATGTGATTATGAGTAAATTTTTCTAGAAAACTCTTCCATAAGCACATTTGCCTTAAGGCTCATAGGCCCACCAGTAGCCAAGTGGATAAAATTACTAATACTTTGATCCAGATTTCTAGGTTACGTGAACTAGTTGTAAGAGTTTTTATAGTTTCTTCATGCTTAACAAAGCTGTGAGCCAGTGTCCCTTAAAAATTCCTCCATGAAGGCAGCTTTCCTTCTAAGCAAGCTGCATGCATGTGCTTTTCTTAATCAGTTTAAGGGAGATAGCCCTTATATTCTTTGTCATGAATAAATAACCTAATCTAACCTTAACCTTTTAACTGTCATGCCCGAGATAATCTCGAGTACAGCACTGGTGTTCGAAAATGTCACGCCCAAGTATTACTCGGGGTAATTTTTTTTTTTTTTTTTGAGTGCATCGTATTGTTAATACCCGAATATATATCGGGAGACGTTTATTTCGGCTTCATCTTTTTGTCAAACCCGACTGTATCTCGGGAAAAATTTTTACAATTTGTGTACCCAAATCATCAAAATAACTTGACAGTTAAAGGGTTAAAATACTATAATTAAATTTTGTATTTTCACAAAAAAACCTAATCTTCAAATATGCATGTGTTATAATTAAAGGGATTAATGTATATTAGCCATACAGTCAATATCTGTAATAAATGTATTATGTTATCCATGCTTGTGTGCAAATAATTTTATAACTTAAAATATTCTTATAAACGTGGACTCCTTTTTAAAAAAATATGTAAATGTATAAAGCTGAATCATCAGAATTTTTAGGGGAAAATATAAAATTAAAATATTTTACACAGTTTAAAGTATTTGCATATTAGAAGGTATAAAACATAGTATCAAATATTAAAACATAAATAAAAATAACGAAGAAAGTGCATGCAGTACATTTGCACAGTACAGTTAGTATCGACACTGTGTGAAATTAAAATTTATCAGAAACAAATTAGTATATGCCAGAAAATCTGTTCAGATTGGTAGAGACATAAAGAAACATTTTGAGTTCTTTAAGATATATCTCTAGAATAAATAAATTCACTATAATATAGCCTGTCAATACTACATGCTAACTCATAATATGCAAGATTATTGTTTCTATTATAAAGCATTGAAAGTTTTTCATTAGTTTAGTTTTGAGCAAAATTAACTAAAGCCTTCTCCCTTTTATAGGCATCTTTTGCCTTTAACCTAGGGCAAACATCAGGAAATTACCTTGAAAGTGCATTAAGTTTAAAAAAAATTAATGTACATAAATATATTTTGGACACAAAACAGGTAATGGATCAAAGCGTTTTCTGTTTTTCCTTGTTTTTAAAAATGAACTCCTTTAAAAAAAATAGCAGTATTAGTTTATAAAATTTTCTGTGCATTTGAAAAAATTAGGATCAAATGATTTGGTTTATTTTAAAGATTATGGCAAAGCACTCGAGGGCTATCTGCATAGGGAAAAGGAGAATTTTCTAAGGGTAATTGGCTTGTATACATGTTATGCATAGGGAAAACCATAACAAATGCCCATGCAGGCAGCCTGTTTGCGATATTTGAACTTCTTATGGAACTACCAGTGTTCAGCGATTTTACTACTCAGATGCTAGTGGATTCTTGGAATCAAATGGTCATATTAATGATGTAATCTTATATCAAGAGGGTAGGAATGTGCAAAAAGTATGTTGATAAATTGAGACAAAGTTCATATGGGTCAGATTCATAAAATATTTTTCTTCACAGCTGTCCACCATCGAAAAACTTATAGGTCCTATTTCAAATAAAGCCATAATTCTTATTTAAATCTTGATTTCAATTTTAAGAATTAAGATAATATAATATTTTTCAATTCATATATGCTCTTAAACTTACACTCATGTTTAAAACATTTTTAACCATATACACTACATACAAAATATGGAAATTCATTGCAAGCAAATGACTATAAATATTTGGTAGTGCAAAAATACATATGTACATGTTTACACAAAATGTAATTGGCAGACTATTCAACACTCCACATGAATACTAACAGCTACTATCTGTTTGCATACTTATGTATTAGAAAGAATGAAATATATTACAAATGTCATTTATGTCACTGTCTTATTTTAACACAACTCAGTGATGCAGATATATGAGGTAGGTGAGATCATCTTGGAAAGCTGATTGTAATATTAATTTTTGTTACATTTCATGCATAATAATGCATGCAAAATTTATCCCCTGTATTTATTAAGTATCTACTGGCATGCAAAATTCAAACATTCTTTGTTAATTATTAAATATGTTAATATTTATCGAGACTGTGTGAATGTTATGCTAATATAGAACTTGCATTTAAAATATCCACCATATAGTTACCTTTCATATGCTAACAATATAGTAGTTAAAAAAAATAGATATTTGTTATTGCAAAACTGAGTATTGTTTCATTGAAATTTCAATGCTTGTAATTATGTATATATTATCAGCAGGATTTTTTTAAGGAATTTGTAATTTCAAATATGATGTGTTAAATTTATTCTTATTATTGATTTTTTAAGGTTATTAATACTGAATAGACATTGCAACAATTTAAAAAAAGATTAATGGGTTTACTGATTTAATTTTCATTACAGTAGTTTTCATTATGTGTTGAAAGCTAAGCTAATTAATTTACATTCAACTGTACTGCTTCATTATTAACATGTATGTTTTACAGTTAAGTTAAAATGCTAATGCAATAGCCTGAATTGATCAAGTGAAGCAGCCCTTAATAATATCTTCTTAACGTATCAAATACAATATTTTTGTCTGACAAATGTTTGTCTCGAGTAATCTTTAATTGAAAAATGAACTGTTAGTACATAATAACTATAAGTTAATGCTTGCAGTAACTGTATATTCCAGAGTCAGCAACGAATAGAAAATACCCTTTTCCTCCCCTATTTTCACTTGATAATTGAAAGTTATACAGAACTTAATAATTCAGTTTGCTATTTTTATCTATGAGTTTCATTTTCTCTCATTTTCATTTCTTTCAAATCTTTTTAATTTTTTTAACATTTTGGTTAATTTTTCTTTCTTTCCTGAATTTATTTTTAATGGGATTTTTAATGAAATTTATAGCTGTATAAGTTTTTAATCATATTTTTAAGAATTTTTCATATTTGTGATATAGTTTAATACATTTATAGAATTATTTTGCGATTGCCATTTGGATAGGGTTTCCTAGAAATATGTTGCGTGTTTATCGTATTTAATAGTGTAACTGACTAATTTTTGCATTCCAGTAGTTAGTGATCATATCAATTAAAAGAGTATCTCCAAATTAAATTTATTGTGTTCAATTTTTTTCATTTAGTTCAAATATCATTTATAAAATTATAAGGTATAAAAATCTTAAACAAGTTTCCTGTAATTTAAATAAAATTTTAATCAAATGATTTTTACTTTTCTGAGATAATCTGATCATCATTTTTGATAACCCCAAAAAAATTAATTTTCTGTAAAGAATCCAAACTGTGTTACAATATGAATTGTGATTTTAAAAATTTGAGCTCTGACAGTTGAAAATTATTTTAGTTAAATAAAAGAGAGTATTGAAGTGTTATTTGTATATAAGTAATAATATCGGCAAATTTTATGGAGAAATTGTCCTTCTTTTAGAAAGCAAATCTCTTATCATTTTGAGTTTTAAAAAGATTCCATCTATACAAGACCTGTTTCTCTTTTATTCTATTCATTATAAAATATTTATATCTCGCTAATTAATTATTATTAAACATTTAACTATGACTAGAGTTAACACAAATCAAACATAACCTGCATATTCATATCATTTTTTGATGTTTCATAGATATAACCTCCAAGCATATTTAACTACTTGTTAAGTTTAAATTAGGAAGAAAAAAAAAATCCCATTTATTTTTCAGTAAATATTTTAAACTGAAGTTAGTATAATTGAACATTTCAGTCTGAAAATTTCTCATCTTCTGCACAGTAAAAAATTCACGGCTCTGGAAAAACATTTTTAAAGGTTTGTTAGGTGTTTGATTTTTGATAGTGAAAAAATTAGTTTGTGATTTCTATATACTTTTTGTAGGGTGTGTGAGAGCATGTGTATATGAGTGTGCCTCAGAGCATATACACCCCTTTCTTTTAGCATAATGTCAAGCATAAAAACAGTGTAAAAAAGGCATATATAAGCAAAAATAGCAAAAAATAAAAAAAAAAAATAAATAAAAGACAGAATCATGATATACGTGGGGCCAATGACACTTTAATATGTAAAGTATAATATGTGATTCACTTAATTTTTAAAAAAAATGTAAGGCAAAAGGGATTTAAAATAATTCTTTCATATTTCTTTCCATATACTGTGAATAATTATGTATTTAAGTGACTGATAATCTTTCAACGAAACAAATATCTAAATATAAACGTTTATAATTCTTCTCATGAAATTATTCAATACAGCAATATTTTTCTAGTAATTGATTGGTTAATAAAATTTGTATTTTAATTTAATTTTTATGCTAAATAAATTATTCAATATTGAACAATGTGAAGTGTTACTTCTTGAAAAGTTATATATAAAAAGTAAAATTTCTCAGTCTCAACATTTTTTTCAAATTATATATATATATAATAATAATAAATTATTTACTAAAGAAATATTTATTATATTATCTCCTAATATAAATATATATATATTATTTCATAGTGTAATGTAAATGATTTCCTTTGAAAAATGGCAAATTGCAAACTCCTTTGAAGCTTCAGTATTTATGAATTCCTCTTTTGTCTAAGTGATAAATGTTCACCATTTCAAGAGAATGTAAAAATAATCAGTTTTAGTTCTTCAGTGCTTTTTGATAGGTATCAATATTATGATTGCAGCTAATACAATATTATATTTTATTGTGAAAGAAGAATTGTGATATGTACAATTCTTTCTTAATTAAGCAATAAAAAATGAGAATCCGGTACTCAATTTGTAGAATTTTTCAAACTTTTTGTAAGAAATGTTTGATTCCCAAATTCTTCATTTAGAATGTATTTTAATTCCATTGGGTGTACAGTAATGTGTATTTTGAGAAAGTTTTAAGAATGGTTAATTTTATAAATTCATGAAAATATTATCCTTTCATATGTGTATTGAATAGGATTTATTTTAAAATAATTCTCATTTTTGAAAATTAATTTCAAATGAAAGTTTTTTGTGCTATACTAAGTAAAACCATACATATAAATTGGACCTTGCATTTTTAAATCTTTAATTATAGCAAATATAATTTAAAGAACTTTTTATTATTTTTTAAATGTTGTTTTATCATTTTTTATGTTTGTCATTGCTAGTTAATCATTTTAGTAAATAATATAAGTCCTACATATCAACTTAGTAAATAATATATAAATTGCGAGTTTAGAACTTTTCATATGCTTTTATAAACTTTAAAAACGTTTCTTCCTTTATTATCGCTTATCCTCCTCTAAACTGCGTTTGAAACTAGCATCTAGAGCTTTCACTTAACAAGATATGAAAATATCGCTATTAAAGTAGAAATCAGCATTTAAATTTATATGCGTAGAAGTGGAGACAAAAAATGTTCTTTGGTTTTTTTTATCGTTTCCATAAGAATGGCATTCAAACTACGAGGTAATTTTTTAAACTACCTATTCGATGTGGTCCACAACTACTAGACCTCATAAAATAATTATGACGAGTAGCACCTTTGCAAGGCCTTTCAGAGGGAAGAATTTTGTCAGTACCCTCTGAAAGATAAAGTTTAACAGCATTCGGGAGGCTGAGCTCTCGTATATCACTAGCTTGCCGAAGAAGATTCAGAATTACTGCTCTACATCTGTCTTGGAGATTTCCAAATTCTCGTTTAGTATTACTTAAAGACATCTCGGTTTTGGCTGCTGTAGAGCATACTATAGGATACAATTCATCTTTAACTAAGTGGAGATCTGTGAAAGCTACTCCAAGGTTATAGCCATCTTTGTAATAAGTTAGGGTGCCTTTTATTCCATCAAACAGCAATCCTACTGTGGTTGCTTCATTCTCTCGAAATGGCTTGGTGTACTGCCTCCATTTCCCGTTATGCCACAGAAGACCTTTGTGGGATAAACCCCATCCGTACTTATCTTCGCCGAGCATGTTGACAAAGGAATCAATATGTAAACGAGCCTTTTTGGTGCCGACGCCTGTAAAAAAATTGTTTAAAAAAACATCTTATAGAATGCAAATTATGCAAAAAATATTATGTATGAGATGTTAATGTTCAAAATGATTTGCAAGAGATAATATAGAAGTTAATTAAAATTTGTTTTCACCATTTAGATATATGCTTTACTTTAGATCAGGAGTTCCCAGCGGGGTCAGGATTGACCCCCAGGCAAGGGTCGATGAAATTTTTAAAAAGATCAATTATAATGAACTGGTCGATAGCCAAACATGCACAGGCAATTAATCGGCATAATCCAAAATTCCATTGATTTAAAAAAATCCATTAATAATATGTAAACTATAATATGTAAATTAATAAAATTCATAACTGTTTGTTGTGTAAGAGTCTAGCTAAATTTACTTTGTAGGCTAGATCTTTACTTGAAATGTGAAGCGACTATTCCTTAAGTTCATACTGTATTAATGATAATACGTAAGAAGGATGCAAAGACCCTTTTATTCAACTCAAAGAAATTTACAGAAGGCGGTCCTGGTGCTTACAAACTTTTGGCTAAAACTCTAAAATTAAAACTAAGTTAAATAATCAGCCGAAGCTGCACAGAAATAATTAACGTGACTTGGCTCATAGCCCTACCGCTGTCGTACATAAACCGGCAATTAATGTGCACGGCCGTAAAATAACAAGCGAAACAACGTGGCTGAATGGCAAAATACGCTTTGTCTGAAGTAAATGAGATACCAGCTTAAATAGTATCTTTCTACCCTGCTCTGCACAACACGTGGAACTGAAATATAATTCTGGCAGGAAATGGAAATGAGAAAAGATAGAAAAGATAAGTAACTGAACAAAAACTGATTAGTTTAAAACTAAATAAATCTTTACAGTTGATATAGAGCTATATCATGTAACAAGGAAGAAATCATAAAATAAATGCGAGGTGAAAAATACCCAAAAAAATCATTTAATATATTTTTTAAATTGATGATATGTTTTTTAAAGGAACAAATTTGTTACGCTATAAATACAGTATGCAAAACAAGATTTAATCAAGTCAAGCCAATGATAGACTATGGAAACCAATAAATAGACTGAATATTTTTGAACGAGATGATTTAAGAATTAATTTTATGTCAAGCATTAAAAACATTGCCTCAGTACCTCGAGCGCAGCTATCACATTAAGTGAAATTGAACTTTTCTGCAGTTAAAATCTGAGATTTTGCTTCTGGACGCTAGTGCATATTTGTAAAAAGAAAACTAATAATACAAAAAAATAACAAACCATGAAACTAATAAATCATTTTCCCCCCGAAAATTTTGTTTTGAAACCTTTTTCCCCCCTCTCAAAACTTTTCTTAATCTAATTGCTAAGTTATTAATGTGCAATTATTTGTATTATGATTATTAGGCCAAAGGTTCATTAGCCCAGATGGGCTATTTTTCTCGAAATGGCATTTTGTGTTGAATCGCTAAAAGTGTAGAATCATTTTTCAAATTGTTGCCATAAACATTATCACCTTGTATTATATTTAAAGAAATTAAATAATGAAAAATCTGCATGAATGTGTGTAAGTTTCTCGCATTGTGAAAAAACAAAATTTTGAATAACTTAATTCTCCACCTGAGCACTTGGAAGCCCGAATTTCGAGTTTGTTTTATTAATTTCATAATTTGTAAAAATTTAATTAATTTTTTATTAAAAATACTCAACGATTTCAAAGCAAGCTATAGCAACACCATATGGAATAAAACATTTTTTATCTAGCGCGCGAGACTGTTGAGTTCCAAAGATATGCTGTTTCTAATATGTTTAGGTCACTCGAAACGTTTATGTGTTTGTAAATGAAACAATAGCCCCTTTGGCTGTAACATAAAATCAGAAAGCTTTAATATTTTACTTTATTTTATTTATTAACTTATGATTAATAGTATTTTTTCGTATATTGTATGTTACAGGAAAAAAAAATGAAAGGGGTTGATGAACAAAACAATTTAAAAAAAAAAAAAAAAATATCGATGCAAGGAAAAGATTTCAGGAAAGAATATAAGGAACAAATATTGATACATGTAATCTCCATGCAAACGTTTTGGGGCACAAGGAAAATGCATTTTATGTATGCGCGTATGTTTTGCTGGTGACCTAAACAGTAAAATCTGCATTAAAAAGTGTGTTTAAAAAAGATTATTGAAAACTGCTTGATCGTGTTCTTCCAATCAGTTCTTGATTAATGCGGCGATACTGGAGAGCAGTCAACATGTAGAGGTCTACAGCGTGAACAAGTATGAAGAGGTATCCAAATCGAATTGTCTGTAAGTATCAGAGGATCCAGTGGGATCCGGAAAAGCATCCACAATTCCAGAAGAATGCTATTACCAGTCTGCATTCTTCCGAATGGATGTCGTTCTGATACGTTTCGTACTTCATACGCCATCGTCCATCTTCTTGGTGGAGCAGATACTCAGAATGTACGATTTCTTAGATAAATTCTCGTGAGCATCAAGACTCACGAGACTCATCGAAGAAAGAAGGCGGCTATGGAGTCTTACACCTGCAACACATTTACAAGCTACCTCAATAACGTGTCGAAAGAAACATTTCCCAGAATTTTTGTTTTCACGAAATCTGATTGGTTGACTTTTGATATAATTTCTTTGGAAAAGTCGTACAAGGGGCAAAGCTTCAAGAGAAATATTTTCTGTTGTTTCAAGAAGGCCCGCGTAGCTGGCCAGGACACTTTCAGTGAAAATTATATTTCAGCTAGAAACTCTCCATTGTTGTGAGAAGAAGAAGCTGTCTTCTCAGAATAGCTTCTTCTAAACTTCACGCGTCGTTAGTTATAATAACTCCATTATAAGCAATAAAATTGGCTAAACTGTTGACTCATATACATTGATGAAAGCTTCCTGGTTCATTTGCATGGTGAAGCGATCCACAGATCCGTTGCGATTGGTCCTCTTTAACATTCAGAAGCATTGCTCATTTCGTAGTTTGATCATTTATCTGTCAATAATTAATTTGTTCACAATACTTTCACATTATAAGGTATTTCTCCCGCCTTCTTAGCGAGCCTTCGGGGTGTAATGGTTTGCATGCTCAGCGCGTAATTGAGAGATCCGCGGTTCGATTCCCGGCGAAGGCGTTGCATATTTTTCATGTCTCCAGCTTTTCCAATTAACCTAATGACTCTACAACATTACCAATGTATGGGAGTAATTAACATATCGTGCGACTTGAGAAATGACCTGCATTCGATAATCAAAAAACCATGTCTGTTTCAGCCTAACAATTGACGTTCAGCTCAGGAATTTGCTGTGACTTTGTGCTATCTCAATAGTAATAGTTAAGTTATCTAATAGTAATAATCGATAATAATAATAACAACAACAGAGATGAGACATTTTTTTAATACAAAGCATGGCCAGAGTCCGCATTAATGTTTAAAAGTGAAACAGCAACTGGTGTTAAGGAGTTAAAAGAACGAGTTACTGTGATATTAACGAGCACTATGGATACAACTATAAAGAAGCGTCATTGGTTATTGTAAAAAAAGTTATAAGGTATTTCTTCCGCCTTCCTAGCGTGCCTTCGTGGTGTAGTGGTTCTACACGCTGGGCCGGTATTCCAGAGGTCCGTGGTTCGCATTTCGGCGAAGGCGTGTGCTCATTTTTCATCTCTCCGGCTTTTCCAATTAATCCTAATGTCTTTACAAAGTAATTTATCTATAACAAACACTCTTGGATTACAAGCAGTATTTTCACTGATTTCCTTTTGAAATGAGACAGAGAACTGAAAAACGAAAAAATAGATTAACTTTGTGAAAAAATAGTTAGCACTTTTAGATAACTGTACTGCATTCCCTCTGATATCGTTATGGAAAACATTAAATTAGTGTTTCTTCCTGCAAATATAACTTCTATCATTCAGCCTTTAGGCCAAGGTACTATGAAAGCTCTTAAATGTCATTAGAGAAAAGGTGTCATTGAAAAAAAAATGTGAAAATACAGGCTCTTTGAAGGAGATAGCCAAGTTGATATATTTGCTAGAGGCTATGCATATTATAGTCAACGCTTGGAAACTTCCAAAACACAGTTAGAAATTGCTTTAGAAAATGCGATTCTTATTTATAAGAAGCCAGAAAAGAATTGCTATTACTAAAATTCTGGATATCAGTGAGGGAAATTGTGAAGATTCGTTTTTAGAATATATTGCAATTGATGATAATATTGAGACGGCAAGTGAAAGTACTGATTATGGTATCATAAAAAGTATTTAAAGAGCTTCTAGACTGAAAGTGATACGGAAGAAAGGGACTACATATCAGACTCAGCTGAATCGAGAAAAGCACTGCAAACTCTAAGAGATCTTGAAATTAAAAGATAGATCAGAAAAGCAACTATCAGTTTTACGGACCTGAAAACATAACTGAAAGATTTTTGATGAGCAATACGAATACAGCAGTTCTTTGTAAAAATTTAAAATTTCATCAGGTATGTAATTATAAAAAAAAAAAATAATAATAATAAAAAAAATAAATAAACGTATAAATAAATTTCCAAATTTCCCAAATAGTTTAATTTTAGCATTAATTGGAATTAATAATTCAGGTTTATCTCTTTAACCCTTTGAGGGGCGGTATATAAAATAATTTAAACTGTGGTAAAATTTTGCATGAACTATAACTTATGGACCCTAAGGACACAAAATTGAGACTTAAAAAAAATCTAGAGCGAAATCCTGAATTTTGAGAGCCGGTATATATTTTATACCGGCGCCCCTCTAGGACATTTTTTTCCAGGTAGCTGCCAACTGTTAATCTTTGTTTTTAAAATTAATTTTGCCCACTTTTGATGTGCGTCTGTACTGATGAGTGCTTGAATGTAGTTGTGTAAGTCTAAAGACAATTTTTTTTTTTTAATTTCGGTAGAAATTTAAAATTTTAAAAATAAAATTTATGTTTTTATGCAATTTGATGATGCAACTCAGCTGAACATACTTATGTAAAATATGGGTAAAAAGCTTTTCAACTGTATTTAAATTCAATATTATTTTATAAAAAAATTTAGCAAATATAACACTGCATGTGTAAATCGTATCATGCTGTAACTGAACTAGTATAATATTACAAGCAGATGTAACTCAGCCGAAAATTAAAAAAATTGAGAAATGAAGCACTACGACCGACTCAGCTGAGAAGGTATGTTGCATTTTTGAAGTTGTATTTTATGCTTTAGATAATATGTGAACAAAACCATGCTTCATACAGTATACGAAGAATCACCCCCCCCCCCCTCTGCACGCACACACACTTTAGATTATCGAGGACCGTAAGGGTCCCTTTTTTATTTTTTGTAAATATAGGTTGTGGTAAAATATCTTTTTTTGTTCCAGGAAAGAAACGCCGTTTAAACAATTTTATTATTTGATACACCTCAAAGCTCTTATTCTGATTTTCAATCCCCTTTGGCCTCCTAGGGGCCTTTTCCTTTTTCAACTTATTGGAATACAACTTTAGGTTTGCATCTAAAACGGGCCTCAGAAATATTTTTCGCTCCTTTCACTAAACTGTGAAAAAATTTATTTCGGAAACAACCTATTGGTGTCCTAATCCCAGAGCGCAAATTTCCTCTTGTGTTCTCCTAGTCTTTCATCAAAAATTAACAAAGAATTAAAAAGATTTTCCCTAAAGAATAAAAGTATGCTTTCAAATAAGCAGTTTTTATGATTACACTACGAGAAGGATTTTAACTGCATTTTCATTTTCCGTATTTTTAAGTGAGGCTTTCCCTTTGTGTGATCTTATCACACCTCACAAAGGGAAGAAAGGCGTGACCCCCGAATGATAAATTCGTTGTCAATCACCTCTTTTCATTTTCGCTTGCATTCTAGGATTTTGGGAAACACAAAGCAACGGGTGTCTTTTGGAGGGCTAACATGCCACATTTAACCCCTACAATTGTGTAAAGTTTTGACCCCAGACGATGGCAATTTTGAAATCGATGAGTCTTTCTCTTGGGAAAGGGATGAAGTGCTGAAATTAAAATTTTCGCTACAGCAGAGACGAATGAAACTCGACTGCTGAGTACAACAAAGAATAGAATTAGAAACTAGTATACTTGTAATTCAGTCCTTAGCGCAGGGTCAGTAAACTCCCCATTTTCCTTCATGAACATAATATTGAATCCCAAACGAACTTATAAATTAATCGTAATGAAAAATTATTACATCATAAAATGTTATAATAATAAAGAAATTCTGTCATCTCACAGAAGTAGAAAAGGAGAAGACTGGTGCTGCCATCTATTGGCGTGTTACCCTCAGTGTGGGCGCATATACCGGTTTTAAAATCGTATAAATAATCTTCTGTTAATTATCAATTCTGAAAAAAATGAAGTAAATATATAAGATTCAGCATGTGTACGTCATATATTTGCAGATTTTGAATTTTTTCTTTCCCTCCAATAGAATTTATGAATCTTCCAACATGATACCTTGCAAAGAGGTATATTAATTTCATAACTGCAAAATATTGAGCATTCATAGGGTGATGCTACCATTTAGAATTGAAAGAAAACTCTAGACACTTACGATTGTAGCTTTTGGTGTAGAAAATTAGCATTTTTTCGGAGGTTAAAAAATTGACAAACAACCGGTATATATTATATACAGGTGCCCTTCAAAGGGTTAAATAAGTTCAGAGTACTGTACACATATGATCGTGGGTAAGGCTCATCGGCGAAGGAAGATCTAAAACAGTGGTTGCAAGATCGAACAAAAGAAGAAGCTAACAGAAAACAGACAATATGGCCTTCTTTAACTGTCATACAGATCACTCAACATGATCTCGTTCTGAAATTAAGGCGACTGATGAATCCCGTTCTTGCAGCAACGCAATTGTCAGATTCTAGGAGGAGGAAGGTGAGTTGCAGTTGCCCTCCAATAACTTATTAGATATTTTCTATAGGGCTTAGATCCGGAGCTTTGGTGGCCAGTCCAGTCTGATTATCCTTACTTTACAGAAAACCATCCTCCAAATTAGCCCTATGTAGATGAGCTTTGTTGTCTCCATAAAAATAAGCTGATGGCCAACTACATCCCTGAAAAGATGAACATAGATGTATTCCGTTTGCCTTGCAGCAGTACACAGTTTCTGTCAAAGATATGAAGGTCTGTGTGCCCATCCAACATGATGGTTACCCAGACAGTCAAGTCTTCGCTTTCATACAGGTCGCTTACTGAAGACGTCAAGGATCAAAATTAGTTGGGACTCATCAAGGAAGAAAATAGTCTCCATTGGTGTTTGTTGCAAAGTCGATGTTCTCTACACTATGTTATATGTGTTTTCTGTGCCGCCCAACCAGTGTAGTGGTTAGCGTCACTGACTGCCGTGCCCGAAGGGCTGGGGTTCGAATCCCCGGAGAAGGCATGGATGTTTGTAAATGCATAGTGTCGGTGAGGCACGGCGGCACTTTAAATATGCCGCAAGCCGAATGTCCTGTCGTGTGGTTTGGTGGAAGGGGAGAGAGGTAGGGCACCCTCGGACCCGCCCCTCCCCGGGGACCATCAGAATTGAAAGCGGAACTGAGCTAAATCGCACTGTCACCTTGTAGAGACATTAGAATTTTTTGGAAGCCAGAGAGATGAAAAATTAGCAACCGCCTTCGCCGGGAATCGAACCACGAACCTCTGGAATGCCGGGCCAGCATGCTACCGTTACACACCACGAAGGTATGCTAGGGAAGTTGGAGAAATACCTTATATACTTTTTTTTATTTTTAAAGGGTAGAGACATTAGGTTTTTTTGGAAGCCAGAGAGATGTAAAATTAGCAACCGCCTTCGCCCGGAAACAAACCACGGACCTCTGGAATACCGGGCCAGCGTGCTACCATTACACCACGAAGGCATGCTAGGGAAGTGGGAGAAATACCTTATAACCTGAATGGTACTGTTGCCAATGGCAGGCGTAATCTAGCCCTCCTTGCCACAAGGAATTTCGTGGGCTTGGGCTAACTACGTCAGACAGGTGAGCATAAGCGACAACAACAACAACAGAAGTCAGCTGGATGCCAACACCAGGTCTTTCTGCAAAATGATTGAAAATAATAATGCTGCTTTGAGGTACTGAAAGTGTTTTTTCACGTTATTCGACTTATCCGAAGCTATAACTGAGGCAGTTTTCAAATTAATGGAATTTATTAATTATTTCTTATATGAAACTTTTGTGACTTCAATTCTATTCTAAGTTTACGGGAATTTTAAATAATCCCGTTATCAGTTAATGAGAGTTTATTTTATTTATTTCATCCATTTGTGATTATCCACATGCTGATCTTGTGATTAAATAGCAGTTTAAGAGAAATTCTCTGTTTACTGTTAGGGATCTCCGTTTCCTGGTCACTCAAAAATCATGTTTTACACGACCTTCTCTAGATTCGGCCTTCAAAAATATAAAAAACGCTGAGCAAATTACCTCTAGGAACTTATTGGCAACACTCTAGATCATCATGTGTTGCAAATCATTGTGCACAGAAATGTGTAAGATTTAAAAAACTATATTATTATGAAAATATCAAAGAATTAAAAACTCAGGTTAATCAAACATATATAACTATGACTCATTCACAGATTGTGTTGTTATTAAAATAATACATTTAAAAAATTAACATATTAAGTACTTTGCAACTATTTGGATTCAGGAACAAAAAATGTTTTTAGTTTAACTGATTTGTCACAATATATTATTTCTCCTTCGAAATTGTTCTTCTAAATCGCTAAAATCATACTACAACAGTCTTAATCTTCTGAAGCCTTTAAATTAAAGGAGAACTAGAAAGCAAAGATTTCTAAACCTATATTGGACCTTAAATCCGTTTTATTGTGTGAATAACACACTGGAAAATTATTTGCTTAATCTTTTCGCATTGCGGAACTAGAATTAAACTTGACACTAAATTAAGGTTCTGTTTATTTTCTTAAATTATAACCTTCGGTTATTGATATAATAATCACAATAATGAATGCTATGCTTACCAAACATCATACTGGTGCCAAATATTCTTTGCGTAACATTTATTTCCCAATAAAATAGACCTCTGTTCAAAATCCTCGTGCCTCGAACACCAGCTGTACCGTTACTCCAGTTAGGATGGAAATGGGCCGTCTTCAAATTAGCCCCACATAACTGGACTTCATGCGACTTATCTCGCTTGTTCCATGTCCAGTTGTCGGTGCAAAAATTATGCAACGGTGGGCCGTCTTGGGTTGTCATTGCTAGAAGAGAATTATACTTAATTAAGCATAAACCTAAATATGTATTACGGAAAAATTTAATTCATTTGTTGAATTATTTTACAACATCAAGTTTTAAATTTCACAAACAAAAGCATGTAAAGCTGAGAATAACCGTTATTACAAATAGGAATACCAAACTTTATGATTTATTTAAATCTTTTTTTTTTTTTTTTTTTAAACTTATTATGTGCTTCGCCCTTAGGCACTACACGGAAAAGGAGAAATGCACCGTAGAAGTCTTTTTAAACTCAGGAAGGAAAAATGGCTCGTATCCATGTTACACATGGGGAAAACCACAAAAACACCCTTGCGGCCAGCCCATTCGCCGGGAGTCGAACCCCGGACCGAACTACCAGTATTCAGCGACTTTTACCATATAAGGATTATGTTAATTTTATTAACAATTAAATTTTGAGTTAAACTTCCTTTCCTATCGATTCTTAATTCAACTTACCACTTCCGGCCAGAACGTAGTTTTGGAAGTACGTCTGAATGCTAATGAGGAAGAGCGGTATATAACCGCGAAGTTCTACAGTCTTAGTGAGAGAGATACCAGGTATTTTGGCTGCACGCGTCCGTAAGCTATTATTATGCTTGGCCATACTTTAGGCCCTTCATAGCTTCGCAGTCAATTAGCGTTATGTGGCCAACTCTGTTAGAATCTTGATAGCTTCCGCTATATCTTTTTGGTTAAGATTAGTTTAGTTTAATTCTTAGTCTCTTAAGTTCAAGCCCAAGTGTCGGCTTTATTGTACAACTCCAAGACTGAGTTTTATTAAACTCTAATTGGAATAATAAAGGGTTATTTTACTCTTCTATCTTGTTGTTTCCTGTCACACGAACTCAAGCGATTATTCGCTTATCAGTTCTTAAGATTCTTCACTTCCAACAGTAACTTAGAATAACACAATGGAGAATCCTACAACCGCTCGGCCACTGGTGGACCTTCAATCCTATTTGAGCAAAAAATTATCATCGATAATTGAGTACCCACCCTCCTAGATTTTTCTTTTATCTAAAAACTATGCACTCCTCAGGCTTCCGCTGAAGACTTTCAGATTGGTATTCCTTATTCCGGTATTTATAAATTTTTACATTGAACCTTCAATAGAAATATTTGCTGAGTAGAAGAGGTAAACTTTGTAGTGGAAAACTTAAAGTAATCCTTCGTCTTTGTCCATGTCTTCGTCATAGTTTGAATAATCAGTTATAAATCTAAAAAACTTCAGTGCAATTAATTTAATGGTGCAAAAGATAGTTTTTATACCCTGCTCAATTCCAAAAATATTACTCTTGTCTCCGGAGAGACGATTAAGCACGATTTAAGCGAGATGGTTAAAAACGTTTTGCCACTCAATTTCCTGTGCAAAATAATTAAAGTGTCGTTAGATTTCTTGTGAAAATTTTCAGTGTGGATTAAGATCAAATAATCAGCGTAATTATATATGTAAATAGTAGAAGTCTTAGCATTTTTTTATTGCAGTCTATATGATAAAGACAATGCACAGTTTTATTCAAAGTGAACTTTCCTAATTTGCATGTCTACACATTTAGTGCATTAAATTTCACAATAATAACTGTTCACTCTTTAATGTTTTTCCTGCATAAGAAATACACCTCAAACAGAATTAATTTATCTTATTAAAAATGAATATATTTAATTTACTCATATATAACTTTTAATGCTAACAACAGGTATAATCAGATCATTCACAAAATATATTTTGAATTTTACACTTTCAAAATCAAAGGAATGCAAGCATCGAGATAAGAAGTTACTAGATTCATTGTAATACTTCCAGTTATTCCCAGCTCGATAAAAAATTATGCACTTGAATTCCGTTATTCAAGACTAATTGTAGCTTGAGTCATTCTCTCGATATAAAGAGCGCTAACATGCCACGAACATCAGTGCGTGATAAGATTCGCGAAAGTGAAAATTTGACGATAAAATAAACTTATAAAATAAAAGCACTACGAGATTTTGTACTAAAATGATAGCAGTATTTATCCGCCATACATTTATAATTGCGAAACAAATCCAAAATAAAACGTAAACAAGAACATGCGTTCATATGTAGACTGCCAAAAAAGGGGGGAAGCACTTCTATATCTCCCGTTCTACTGGGGCAATAGACGAAATTCAAATTGCGTTTTTCATGTTTCGAAAGCGCAACTTAGGGTATATATTAGATTTACATATAGCATTGTTCTAACATAGGTATTTTGACACAAAATGAGATTTTTCTGAAATAACATACCAATTTTTTTCCATATTTCGATTCTAAGACTGAAATTATGCCTAAATATTAAATTTTGTAAAATTTGGTGCGACATTTACGGAGAAATTCAAAAATTTATCTTGGTGCATTTTTTTCAGTTTGCACCAACAATAATTCACTTGGCGAATTTCTTAATTTATTGCAACCTATCTTTCTTTCCTTTTTTGCATTGAACACGAGCGGAAAAAAGTCATCGTTCATACTTTTAAATAATTTTAACAAAGTGCGTAAGCCATACTTGGCGTTATCGCTTATAACAAATATGCCACATTTCAAAACGTGCCGATGTGTAAATTCATGTATATCTTAGGAAATTTTGAATCAAAAACTCTAATTTCTTGCAGATATGCTTAGAAATACGTCTACTTTAAGATGATGGAAAAACTTTTATAGGTTATAATTCAAAACTGTTTTGAAAAATTTATAAAAAAATTATTTAAAAATACAAATTTCAAAAATAAATCATAAAAAAAGCGAATTTTATTTGGAAGGAACCTAATATGAAAGGAAGAATTAAATAAGTTTAATAAAAAAAAGGGATATTAATAAATATATACCAAATTCAATTAACATTGAGGAGCTAAAATTCTGAAAGTTAATTTTTTAAAACCTTGTAGAGTTTATATTTATTTTAACTAACATTTATTTTAAGCTATCTTTCCTGTCAAACCTTTACTTTCCCTTGAATTGCCAATGCCAGAGTATGTAAATCGTAGTAGAACGCGCAGAGTATTCAAATTTTAGCAGAAGTAATTGAGTTTAAATAGAAGGGAAGCGAGATTGTAAGTGTGCTTCTTGAATCACGAGCGTGAAGGTTGCTTGGTAGAAAGTTTAAGAACCGCGCGTTTCGGCCTGTGTGCCTATTTCGACAGTTCGTTGAATCTTTCAAATTCTTAATCAGAAAGTTTGCTGAATCTCAGCTGTATCTTAGAACGCGGTTAAGTTAGTTACGATTATAGAACCTCGTAGGTAGTGACTTCGTTATTTATTCATCCTGTCATTTTTTTTTTTTTTTTTTTAGTTGCATTTTTGTCTATTTTGTTCAACCGCCGTGTTGGCGTAGTTTGTGAGCGTCAAGTGAACGCAACTGTGATTTCTAAAGTGAAATAAAAAGGGAGTTAAACCCTTCTTTAGAGTCTGTGTAATTTCCAGTTCATAGCAGTCACTACTACTGTTGCTGACAAGTTGGGGCTTCCCAACATCATAACTTACTCGCGCGCTTTTTACAAAACTTGGCAGTTTGGCATAATTTGAATTGTAGAATCAAAATATGGAAAAAAATTGGCATGTCATTTTAGAAAAAGTCCAACTTTATGGCAAAATATCTGTATTAGAACAGTGATATATATATATCTAGTACATATTTTAAGTCACGCTTTCAAGACATGAAAAACGCTTGCTTGTGTCGAATGAAAAGAGAGTGACAGCGCGCTTTTACTCTGTATCAGATAAAAGAATGTCTGGTCAATCGGCCCGATAGAACGGGAGGTATAAAATTGGCCCCTCCTTTTTTTATCGCAGTGTAAAGTTTAAGAGATTCAGTGTCACAAGAGCAATAGAAGCTCATTGGTACATTTTTGAAACCCCTCCCTCAGTGGTGGTACTGATGTGCACTTGTGAATTATGTCTTTGTGAGCTTCATTTTACGCCATTTTTTTTATTTTTTTTTTACTTTTACGAATGTATGGGGCACTTTGCATTTCAGGTTCCTTATAGCTTAGATTATTTTCGGGCTACTCCTTGAATGTAGATCACCTACCTTTTCAATACTTTGCTCCGCCAGACATTTTATGAAATTACGCGTTAAGCGACAGAAGATGTTTTGAACAATCTTAGTTTTTAACTGTCCTGCAAAACCAAAAATAAATTATGTTCATTTGCGAACATAATAAACTTCATAACGTATTTATGTTCATTAACAGTTATTTAAACGTTCAGAATCTTTACTGCCACTTCGCCCATTCCGTTTTCTTGCCAGAATGCAAATTTTAGCCTTTCAAAAGCCACGTTACTAGTTAACCCTTTGCGGCACAGTGTGTCCGGTCTCGACACACCTAAAAATTTCCTTCTGTACGCAGAGAAAAATTGAATGAAAAACTATTTATAGGTTACTCTGAACCTTCTTTATTTATAGTAGATGGCAGCTCAACACAAACCAGTCCATATATTTTAGCCATGTTTAGTTTTTTAAGACCCTCATTCTTCAAAGAAATCTTCCAGATTTTTTTAGGGTATAAAAGGAATTGTTTGAAAAGAAATTTCTATGTTATTTTTTTGGCTGTATGATAATCTCCTTATTCTATTTCAGTTTTAAATTTTTACTTTGAAATCTTGCTTAAATCAAACGGCGAACCCTAAGAGTGCCCAGACCGGGCTCTCCGATAATCTAGGACAACTGAGAGTCTGTATTATTTGTTTCCCCGCATCTCATCGGTCAGTTCACTGACAACAATGCTCGTTTCAGTACTCGTTTCGAAGCTCTATTCAATCAGTGGGCCCACTTTGGGCATAGCGACAGAATTAAAACGATAAATGCTCTATCTTCACAAAATTTTACTTGTGTACTCCTCTAGGCCTAATTAGACTGCCTAGGTTTTTTTTTTTTTTTTTTTTTCTTTTAAATCAAAACTCCGACTTTAAAAGGTAGCGTGCCGGAAAAGGTTAAATATTAGCCGAAAGGGAAAATCGTGTACTTTG